ATAAAATAAAGCGAGTTATGTGATTGAAAATCTTATTAAGAAATGTTTCACCCCTACAATGGTGCTAACATGATCAAATGGATCTTGTCTCTCAAGATACAACTCTTCTTCCAAATTAATAGAGTATAATATTAATTTTATTAGACAAACTAAAACTTGACTGTACTCTTCTAGGCTGGATGATATTGATTCAAAATATCGAACATGAACTCAAAAATAATTTAGAATTATTTTGATGGAGTTTGGAGAAAGAACGAACTAGAAACCAATTATTTTAAATTGATTTGGAGTGAAGAAAATTGAATTCAGTTTTATAATTGGATTTCTTAAAACGTGCACAATTTGATATAAATTAATCTTAGATAATTAGATCACACTTTTTTAGATTGTGTCATGATCTAATAGCCAAGATCACGATTTTTTATTATGCACATTTTTTTAGTCACACGATTTGAAAAATCATTAGTATTCAATATGCATACTTTGCATTTGAAATATCGTGACTAATTATATCACAACTGGAGACCTTTCTAATTCATACTTAATAAAATAACTAAATCTTATCTATTAAAATCATTAAATTCCAACAATAATATGCCACACTGACGTCTTGCAAAGAGTTGAAGTTGACCAATCCAAGGGGATTGTCTCTCCTAAGTTGTTATAGGAGATATCCAAACTCTCGACTTGATGTAGATTTGAGAATGTTGCTGGATTTGTTCCACTAAGATTGTTGTGGGACAAGTTTAGTGCACGGATCTCCCTTAACTCTCCAAGTTCCTCTAAAATATCACCATATAATTTATTAGAAGATAGATCAATTCTTGACATGTGGTTGAGGATAGCTACCCTAATAAGAATACGGTTTTTTTCTTTGTTGTAATATTGTAATTTTCCCAATAGTGAATCTGAATTCTTCTACTTTTTGGAGAGACACATGATAGGCCCTTTCAGACTCAATCCTATCCATGTATGACCTAAATGTGACTACTGAAGAAAAGGTATCCCCTTGAACCATTCTAGACTTCATCTCGATTAGCGCTAGTGTTATGTTACCCAAACAGTGCGGTATCTAACCATTGAGGCTATTATAAAATAGATCTATCATACAAAGCCTTGTTCGGTATTGTTGGTAAGGAATTATGGCTTCAAAATTGTTGCCTCAAAGTAGAATAATGCTAAGCTCAATAGATAGCCAATCCATTTAGGGATACTTGCTATGAATTTGTTCTCTAAGCTCTTGCAAAAAATAAGGTCTCCAGGGACAAATAAAATTGCTAGGTAAAGGCAATATTTCGGTCGCTAAAGATCTTTACTAAAATATTATGGTCACTAATTAGTCAGTGAATGTCTTTAATGACCAATGACAAGTGGTCGCTGAATCGTATTATTCAACGATCTAAACAATGGTCGGTAACAGGCTCGAATTAGGTTTAAAATTAAGGCATAGAAACTTTCATCTAATAATAAGATATTTAAATTCTTGATTACAATCAAATAATTGGTTGATTGACAGTTGGAGGAAGAAGGCACATTTTTTTTTTACATTCCAAACATTTTCTTTGTGCAAATTAAAGAAATTTCTAAATTCCTCCACACCTATCAAGGACTCCATTTGTCTACAACTACAACTTTTTTCAAACATGAGAAGACTTTCATTGTCCATTTTAAGAGTGGTAAACGTTTGTTTCGACTTTCTCTCCATGCCTTCTGGTATGACGACATGGGAAGCAAAACTTAAAGACTTATTTATCTATTTCGTGAATTATGGTCCATTGTTTGCTCTCAGTGCGAAGCTTTCTATCCATGCCTTGTGGTTTCCTCTTTCGTATAATGTCACTGAAGGATATAAACAAGTTTTTAGTTTGAAGCAAAACCTGTAATTCGTACCTTTGTCACTAATGCTCTGTGTATCAAGTATTTTATGGTTTTAAGATTTTATTACTTTATAATAATTTTTTATTGTTTCCGTTGATTAAAGTTTTGCTTATGGTAGCATAATTTTTTTTTTTTTTTTTTTTAAATAGTAGATCAGGAATCTACTGCGGCATTCTAAAATTTCCTTTTGGAATAAGATTCTATTTTATTGTATAAATAAGACCACTTGGGTCTTTTGAAAAATGGGACAAGATGAAAATGACAATTTGAGTATTCTCAATTATGTGTCCAAATTCTCAATAATCCCTTGAATCAATGAGCATCAGGTGTCTAGCTTTTTGGCATTCATGAGTAAATCAACATGAACTAAAAGATTGTTGGTGATTTTCGCGTTCTCAAACTTTTGTGTGCGCTACTTGAAAGGTGTATTTTATGCATTTATGTCGACTTCTAAACTTGCTTATTTATTGATAATTATGTAGATATGGACTTAATTTTGTGTAAATTATATTAATTGTAGGAAAAATTCTAACTTTGATACAATTAGAATGAAAATGACTTTTTGAAGCTTAAATGGAGTTTATTTGGAGCGATTGAAGATTAACCAGAATGCAAATGATTGATGAGAAGAATTGAAAGATCATTTAGAAGAAATTTATAAGATTTGGGAGTTAAATTCGACAATTAGAAAGTTCGAGGACCAAATTACCTACTTTTGGAACTTAAGATGGACAAATTTCTAATGATTATGAAGTTTTGGGGACTAATACGGAAGATTTTTGAAATTTTAATATCTAGGGAGCTAATTGCTGAAAATTAGGATAATTTTTTTTTTTTTTTTTTTTTGGCTGTCTGGCCTTTCTGGCTGGTTGTTGGATTTTGTTATTTTTTCAAATTTTCTTGATCCGTTCTGACTACTTTTTGAAGTACAATTATCAAAATTCTTCCACCTTGAAATTGACCATGTTTTGGCCAGTTTCATCATATAAAATTAGGGAAAAAATTAGATAACAAAGGGAGACAAAAATCAAAGGAAAAAAAAATCAAGAAACTGAGATACTAAAGTTCTTAGCTCAGAAGACGATGATACCGTCATTGTTTGGTCTTCATTATTTCCACAATACATTTTTCTTTCTTATTTTTAGCCACATTCTTCAATAAAATAATATTACATATAAATCTAAAACTTTTTCATCTTTTTTAACCACACATTACCCATCAAAATACTATTTCAAAATGCATTTTGGGCAAAGAAATTGGGCTGAAACAGGCATTTGGTGTCAGATGGTCAACTTTTTCTTATTTCCCTTCAAACCTGGTGAGATACTTCAATTTTTTCTTGTATTTTATCTTGATGCAAGATCATCAACTCAATAATTATCTTTTTTTTTTTTTTTTTTTTTTTTTTTATTTTTTTTTTTTTTTTTTTTCAATTCACTAACATCAGTTACATGCAAACTGAATGAATTAGAATAATGCATGCATAAACTTGAAGTTTCCGATTTACATACATTTGGCTATGTATATGCATTGAATGTAACATTCATGGTAAACATAGCTCATGTCACTTGCTCCAAAGCCAAAGTCGAATGCTTCTGTGAGTAACAATTTAACCAAACCTTCCAATTGCATGCATCAGGTATTGAACTTATGAATTTTCCCAACTCAGTATCAAATATGCTCTAAGTTTTAGAATATGCATGTATATGTGAACATTTTAAGTACTCAGATTGCAATTTTAATTTCTTCATAAAGTTTTTAGTTCTTGCAACACCAGTTCAATGCGTATACACAAATGAAATATTATCATAGAATTCAAATTTTGATGAGTTTCAGAAATGGGATGCTACATTTAAATATTTTATCTAAACAGAATTTAATCGTTGATTCATGCAGAACATTAAACATAATGGAAATTATCTAAGCATACCAGGAATGCATTTGAAATATAACATTTCATATTCTAAATACAAAAATAGAATATAAAATGCACAAACATCAGTCTTGAGATTGTTCGAAAATTTGGAGCATAATTAAAAACGTCCATGCAAATACAGCATAATCGTGACTTACTATGCAAAGTACATATAGGATATGGTTTCGACTTACCAAAACAAAGATATGCCCATGAAAATATGCAAAAATTCGAAGAAGATAAAATAAAGCGAGTTATGTGATTGAAAATCTTATTAAGAAATGTTTCACCCCTACAATGGTGCTAACATGATCAAATGGATCTTGTCTCTCAAGATACAACTCTTCTTCCAAATTAATAGAGTATAATATTAATTTTATTAGACAAACTAAAACTTGACTGTACTCTTCTAGGCTGGATGATATTGATTCAAAATATCGAACATGAACTCAAAAATAATTTAGAATTATTTTGATGGAGTTTGGAGAAAGAACGAACTAGAAACCAATTATTTTAAATTGATTTGGAGTGAAGAAAATTGAATTCAGTTTTATAATTGGATTTCTTAAAACGTGCACAATTTGATATAAATTAATCTTAGATAATTAGATCACACTTTTTTAGATTGTGTCATGATCTAATAGCCAAGATCACGATTTTTTATTATGCACATTTTTTTAGTCACACGATTTGAAAAATCATTAGTATTCAATATGCATACTTTGCATTTGAAATATCGTGACTAATTATATCACAACTGGAGACCTTTCTAATTCATACTTAATAAAATAACTAAATCTTATCTATTAAAATCATTAAATTCCAACAATAATATGCCACACTGACGTCTTGCAAAGAGTTGAAGTTGACCAATCCAAGGGGATTGTCTCTCCTAAGTTGTTATAGGAGATATCCAAACTCTCGACTTGATGTAGATTTGAGAATGTTGCTGGATTTGTTCCACTAAGATTGTTGTGGGACAAGTTTAGTGCACGGATCTCCCTTAACTCTCCAAGTTCCTCTAAAATATCACCATATAATTTATTAGAAGATAGATCAATTCTTGACATGTGGTTGAGGATAGCTACCCTAATAAGAATACGGTTTTTTTCTTTGTTGTAATATTGTAATTTTCCCAATAGTGAATCTGAATTCTTCTACTTTTTGGAGAGACACATGATAGGCCCTTTCAGACTCAATCCTATCCATGTATCACCTAAATGTGACTACTGAAGAAAAGGTATCCCCTTGAACCATTCTAGACTTCATCTCGATTAGCGCTAGTGTTATGTTACCCAAACAGTGCGGTATCTAACCATTGAGGCTATTATAAAATAGATCTATCATACAAAGCCTTGTTCGGTATTGTTGGTAAGGAATTATGGCTTCAAAATTGTTGCCTCAAAGTAGAATAATGCTAAGCTCAATAGATAGCCAATCCATTTAGGGATACTTGCTATGAATTTGTTCTCTAAGCTCTTGCAAAAAATAAGGTCTCCAGGGACAAATAAAATTGCTAGGTAAAGGCAATATTTCGGTCGCTAAAGATCTTTACTAAAATATTATGGTCACTAATTAGTCAGTGAATGTCTTTAATGACCAATGACAAGTGGTCGCTGAATCGTATTATTCAACGATCTAAACAATGGTCGGTAACAGGCTCGAATTAGGTTTAAAAAAAGTTGGTTAATTTGTATCCTTTTGCGACCAAATGTTGGTTAGTGAAAGTAGTAAATAAAAATTACTATATTTCAACAACCAATATTTGGTCGGTGAAGATATACCAACAATGACCAAATATTGGTCTTTGAAGAATAATTGATAAAAAATAATGATTTATGCAAAACGTAGAGGAAATTTTCACGGGTAAACTACAGGATTTTTAAAAATGATGATGTGACAGTTCTTTGTTTTTTCATTTACTATTTATACTTTTTCTTTACCCTTAGCATCTACATTTGTTTTGAATTTCTATACTGTTTCAGTGGAATTTCCCTGTATGTATAGACTCACTCAAAAATCGGTAATTGTTAAAACAATTTTTTAATGTTAAGATTTGGGGTTCTGTCTTGCGGGGCATGTTAAGAAACTTTCTTACTTGAAAGCAAGTTTGGAGACAAAAAATTTGCTTTCTTTTTATAAGCAAAGCCTTGATATTCCCTATTTCATTGGTGGGTTTTGAAGTGCTAATTTTATTCCTATGATTTGCAGGGTTTGTGTGAACTTAAAAACCTCCAAGAGTTAGATCTTAGTTGGAATGAGTATGAAGGAATATTTCCTTCATGTGTTGCAAACATGACATCTCTTAGATTGGTTGAACTCTCACACAATACTTTCATCAGAAGTATTGCCTCCTCTCCACTTACGAAACTCACATCGCTTGAATATATCTCCATTTCAAGTAACAACTTTCAAGTTCCAATTTCTTTCAAGGCATTCTTTAATCATTCCAACTTTAATTTTTTATTTTTGGAAAACAATGAAATAATAAATGACGAGTTGGGAAATTTGGTTCCCAATTTTCAACTAGAGGTTTTTAGTATGCTAAATTCAAGAGGTTGTCCATCACTACCCAGCTTCCTTTACTATCAATCCAATTTGAGAATTCTTCATCTCTCAAATAATAGCATAGGATGGAATTTTCCAACTTGGTTGTTGGAAAACAACACAAGACTTAAGAGATTATACCTGATGGATAATGCTTTTACAGGACCTCTCAAGTTGCCAACAAGCATCAATCCCAACATGGAGAATTTTGATGTATATAATAACAAGTTCAATGGACATGTTCCAACTAATATGACTTCAATTTTTCCAAACCTATTTGAATTAAACATGTCAACAAATATGTTTGACAGTTGTATACCTTCCAGTTTCGATGACTTAAAATCTATAAGGTATATAGACTTGTCCAACAATAATTTGTCAGGCACAATTCTGCACGAATTAGTTATGGGATGCTTTTTTCTACATTTGCTAAAATTATCGGATAATAAATTGCGAGGACAAATATTTCTAGAATCTATCAACCTACAGTTCTTGAACAATTTATATCTGGATAGCAACGAGTTCTCAGGCACCATTCCAAAGAGCTTGTCAACCATCCCTCTTTCAGTGTTAGACCTTAGTAACAACCGTTTGTCGGGAAAAATTTCTAAATCAGTAGGCGATATGACAGCATTGGATCAAATTTCTCTGTCTAACAACTAGCTTGAGGGACCAATCTCGGAGGAAATTTGCAATCTCGATAATCTTAGCCTCTTAGATTTATCTGAGAACAAGTTATGTGGTTCAATCCCATATTGCTTCAATCCATCAAGAATACATCATGTCTACCTAAGCAATAACCAATTGGAGGGTGAGCTCACGTATGCATTTTATAATAGCTCTTCTTTGGTGTCATTAGATCTTAGATATAATAAGTTCATCGGAAATATCCCTCAATCGATTGGCAATCTATCACACCTAAGCATTATTCTTCTCAGCAATAACCATTTTGAAGGTACAATTCCTCCCCAATTTTGTGAGATGGACCAACTAAGCATGATAGACCTTTCTTTTAATTTTCTTTCTCGTCAAATCCCACACTGCTTTGGTAACTTGACACTAGAGGTGACCGAGGAGAAGTCTGGATGGGTTGAAGAAGTATTCACTTCTTCACTTCAAACACTCTTGTCTTACATGGATGAGGTTGAATTAGAAATGGCTCGTCACGTTTTTTCACTCGAAACTGGATTTTTCAGATTAAATGATGTGCCAATTACAGCGAAATTCATAACAAAGAGAAGTTCTTATACTTACAAAGGTAGCATCCTCAATTACATGTCAGGAATTGATTTGTCTTCTAATAAATTACATGGTAAAATTCCAGATGGCCTTGGAAATTTAAGTGAGATTCACTCACTCAACTTGTCGCACAACTATCTTATTGAACAATTCCAGAAACATTCTAAAACCTACATCAGATCTCTCCTATAACAACTTAGGTGGGAGGATCCCCACTGATCTGATCAAGTTAAACGTTTTGGCAATCTTTCGTGTGGCACATAACAATTTAGCAGGTATGATACCAGAGAAAGCCCAGTTTGGAACATTTGATGAAGGTAGATATCAAGGAAATCCTTATCTTTGTGGCCGTCCATTACCTAACGACTGTACTAGCACCGGATCAACACCAGTCTTGCCAACTGCTGATGATGAAAATGAGGAGTGCAGTTTAATGGACATGGAGTTCTTCTACATAAGCTTCATCATATCTTATTTATCTGTAGTGTTTTGCATTGCTACAGTTCTATTCATAAATTCTCACTGGAGAAGAGCATGTTTTCATCTCATTGAGGTTTGTATAATCCATTTTTGAGGCCATGTCTTCTGGATAATATTCCCATTTTCCAAATCAAGGTATCTGCTTTAATTCTGTATGAAGTTCATTATATTCTATACTAACTTTTATAACTAATATATATTTACAATCTATCTAATTAATGTTGTAATTTTCTCTTTCTAGATTTGATAACTCGGAAATAACGACGCAGTAGAGCCAAATATAACAGCATGGTAGGAAGCCAAGATGGCCATGTGTATGCATATTCAATCATGAAAGTGTGAAATGATTTTCAATACTATACTTGTATTAATAGATGGGAATGTGATTTGTTTCCTAGGTAAATGTTTTTTGTTTGTGAAAAACAGTAAGGAGCAACGTGGCATTTGATTTCTAAAGTAGTAGTTGAGTATCAAGCATTAATTTAATAAAAAGATTTATATTAGAGCTTCTTTTTCCTCCATATATAGAATTTGTGCAGTATTTCTGAGTCGAATTTTGTCAAAGAGAGAGTGTGCAACCTATTGATCAGTTTGTTATTCTTGTTATGAAACGTAATTGTATCTTGGAGGGATCCTTTTTGGACTCTTCTTCTCCGGATGCAAATTTTCTTCAAAGCATTGAGTAATGACTTCTCTAAAGGTTTTTATCTTTGGCTCGGTGTGGACTCAATGGCACCCTTTCCAACGAGGTAAAATTTTCACCTCCAATCTCTAAAGGTTTTATTTATATATCCACAAGGACAATGACATATATAAGTTTCTATCTGTGTTTGTATGAGTTTTTCTTCAATTATTTCTATTTTCAGATTTGAATTTCACTATTTCTCTTATATTTCAACTGAACTTTTTCTTTGCCCTTTTACATCATGAAAAAAAAAGTGTGATAAATGCTAAGTGATCACGCTTTCCATTTTTTATTTTTACCTAGAAGCATGTGTGTATATATATATATATATATATACACACATGTTTTCAAGACAAGCTGGAAGTAATTCTACATACTCATTTTCACTCAAATCCAGTCCTCATGCTTATTATGTTGACACCACCCTATTAAGTTAAACACTAACCAACCAAACAAAGGTAAAAATTGGAGTTGATTATTTTTTCTTACAGTTTTCTTAACAAATCTAAACACAACTACCTCCTTTGAGAGAGATATATATATACACATGCTTCTAGGCAAAAATAAAAAATGGAAAGCGTGATCACTTAGCATTTATCACACTTTTTTTTCATGATGTAAAAGAACAAAAAAAAAGTTCAGTTGAAATATAAGAGAAATAGTGAAATTCAAATCTGAAAATAGAAATAATTGAAGAAAAACTCACACAAACACAGAGAGAAACTTATATATGTCATTGTCCTTGTGGATATATAAATAAAACCTTTAGAGATTGGAGGTGAAAATTTTACCTCGTTGGAAAGGGTGCCATTGAGTCCACACCGAGCCAAAGATAAAAACCTTTAGAGAAGTCATTACTCAATGCTTTGAAGAAAATTTGCATCCGGAGAAGAAGAGTCCAAAAAGGATCCCTCCAAGATACAATTACGTTTCATAACAAGAATAACAAACTTATCAATAGGTTGCACACTCTCTCTTTGACAAAATTCGACTCAGAAATACTGTACAAATTCTATATATGGAGGAAAAAGAAGCTCTAATATAAATCTTTTTATTAAATTAATGCTTGATACTCAACTACTACTTTAGAAATCAAATGCCACGTTGCTCCTTACTGTTTTTCACAAACAAAAAACATTTACCTAGGAAACAAATCACATTCCCATCTATTAATACAAGTATAGTATTGAAAATCATTTCACACTTTCATGATTGAATATGCATACACATGGCCATCTTGGCTTCCTACCATGCTGTTATATTTGGCTCTACTGCGTCGTTATTTCCGAGTTATCAAATCTAGAAAGAGAAAATTACAACATTAATTAGATAGATTGTAAATATATATTAGTTATAAAAGTTAGTATAGAATATAATGAACTTCATACAGAATTAAAGCAGATACCTTGATTTGGAAAATGGGAATATTATCCAGAAGACATGGCCTCAAAAATGGATTATACAAACCTCAATGAGATGAAAACATGCTCTTCTCCAGTGAGAATTTATGAATAGAACTGTAGCAATGCAAAACACTACAGATAAATAAGATATGATGAAGCTTATGTAGAAGAACTCCATGTCCATGAAACTGCACTTCTCATTTTCATTATCAACAGTTGGCAAGACAGGTGTTGATCCGGTGCTTGTACAGTCATTAGGTAATGGACGGCCACAAAGATAAGGATTTCCTTGATAGTTACCTTCATCAAATGTTCCAAACTGACCTTTCTCTGGTATCATACCTGCTAAATTGTTATGTGCCACACTAAAGACTGCCAAAACGTTTAACTTGATCAGATCAGTGGGGATCCTCCCACCTAAGTTGTTATAGGAGAGATCTAAGCTCTCAATCTGATGGAGGTTTTAGAATGTTTCTAGAATTGTTCCAATAAGATAGTTGTGCGACAAGTTGAGTGAGTGAATCTCACTTAAATCTCCAAGGCCATCTGGAATTTTACCATGTAATTTATTAGAAGATAAATCAATTCCTGACATGTAATTGAGGATGCTACCTTTGTAAGTATAAGAACTTCTCTTTGTTATGAATTTCGCTGTAATTGGCACATCATTTAATATGAAAAATCCAGTTTTGATTGAAAAAATGTGACGAGCCGTTTCTAATTCAACCTCATCCATGTAAGACAAGAGTGTTTGAAGTGAAGAAGTGAATACTTCTTCAACCCATCCAGACTTCTTCTCGATCACCTCTACTGTCAAGTTACCAAAGCAGTGTGGGATTTGACTCGAAAGAAAATTAAAAGAAAGTTCTATCATGCTTAGTTGGTCCATCTCACAAAATTGGTGAGGAATTGTACCTTCAAAATGGTTATTGCTGAGAAGAATAATGCTTAGGTGTGATAGATTGCCAATCCATTGAGGGATATTTCTGACGAACTTATTATATCTAAGATCTAATGACACCAAAGAAGAGCTATTATAAAATGCATACGTGAGCTCACCCTCCAATTGGTTATTGCTCAAGTAGACATGATGTATTCTTGATAGATTGAAGCAAGATGGGATTGAACCACATAACTTGTTCTCAGATAAATCTAAGAGGCTAAGATTATCGAGATTGCAAATTTCATCCGGGATTGGATCCTCAAGCTAGTTGTTAGACAGAGAAATTTGATCCAATCCTATCATATCGCCTACTGATTTAGGAATTTTCCCCGACAAACGGTTGTTACTAAGGTCTAACACTGAAAGAGGGATGGTTGACAGGCTCTTTGGAATGGTGCCTGAGAACTCGTTGTTATCCAGATATAAATTGTTCAAGAACTGTAGGTTGATAGATTCTGGAAATATTTGTCCTCGCAATTTATTATCCGATAATTTTAGCAAATGTAGAAAAAAGCATCCCATAACTAATTCCTGCAGAATTGTGCCTGACAAATTATTGTTAGACAAGTCTATATACCTTATAGATTTTAAGTCATCGAAATTGGAAGGTACACAACTGTCAAACATATTTGTTGACATGTTTAATGCAAATAGGTTTGGAAAAATTGAAGTCATATTAGTTGGAACATGTCTATTGAACTTGTTATTAGATACATCAAAATTCTCCATGTTGGGATTGATGCTTGTTGGCAACTTGAGAGGTCCTGTAAAAGCATTATCCATCAGGTATAATCCCTTAAGTCTTGTGTTGTTCTCCAACAACCAAGTTGGAAAATTCCATCCTATGCAATTATTTGAGAGATGAAGAATTCTCAAATTGGATTGATAGTAAAGGAAGCTGGGTAGTGATGGACAACCTCTTGAATTTAGCATACTAAAAACCTCTAGTTGAAAATTGGGAACCAAATTTCCCAACTCATCATTTTCCAAAAATAAAAAATTAAAGTTGGAATGATTAAAGAATGCCTTGAAAGAAATTGGAACTTGAAAGTTGTTACTTGAAATGGAGATATATTCAAGTGATGTGAGTTTCGTAAGTGGAGAGGAGGCAATAGTTCTGGTGAAAGTATTGTGTGAGAGTTCAACCAATCTAAGAGATGTTATGTTTGCAACACATGAAGGAAGTATTCCTTCATACTCATTCCAACTAAGATCTAACTCTTGGAGGTTTTTAAGTTCACACAACCCCGCAAATCAAAGGAATAAAATTAGCACTTCAAAACCCATCAATGAAATAGGGAATATCAAGGCTTTGCTTATAAAAAGAAAGCAATTTTTTTTGTCTCCAAACTTACTTTCAAGTAAGAATGTTTCTTTTTAAAAGTGATTTTTTTATTGGTGAAAGACGACTATAAGTCACTTATTTTGAATGTAACTATTGACTTGCTTATTTCCTATCTCACCAATAAAAAAAAGCTATAGATTGTAAAATATAATTACTTTTAACTATGTAATGTTAGCCGAACCTCTTTAAATTATATTAATTATAAAGTCCTAATTGACGAAGTTCAATACTTTTTTTGATACAAAAGAGATGTTCTTGTTCATTTTTATTTTTCACATTTTTTTTAGCTATATTTGATAGTGAGATAATCAATATTGATTGATTTCTAAAAAATCTTGTAGTAATTTTTCACAATCATGAGATGACTTTGCATTAATTAAACAAAAGTTCAATTGAGAAGCAAGGAAAGTTATAAAATTGTGAAAATGGAAATAATTGAAGAAACAATTTCTTAGTCAGCATGCTAAGTCAAGAAAAACATTGTTTACCAAACAAGCCATTAACGTTTACCATGAACAGGAAGGGTGCCATTGAGTTTGCATCGGGACAAAGATAAAATCTTGAGGGATATGAGTGCTCCAATACTTTGTAGAAAGTTCCAATCCACATTAGAATTATCCAAGAACGGTCCCTCCAGCAGTCTTAAATGCCTCAACTCTTATACATGAAAGCAATGGAATGTGCATGAGAATTGGAGTTCATATTGCAATTAGTATTATAATTCATGTAACCAAGAATTGCAGCTCTTTTGGCTTACCATAAGATCCAAGTGCTTGAGGTAAGAGAATGCCCTCAAAGATTGCACCATGTTGCTAATGTTGGAGACACTTATCTAATTTTAGCACTTGGAGACGGTGCATACTTTTGATGCCTGAAACGTAGAATTCTCTAGGGTAATATTCAAGCGTATTAACATCCAATATTCATAAAACAAAAGCTTCAAAAACTTAGTTGAGTACCTGTTGGAAGTGTGAAGTTGTCAACCTCATTACTACTTAGATCAAGCTCCTCCAAATTACTCAAAGCATGTAAATCTAGATGGAGGTAGAGAAAAAAACATGTAGAAGAAAAATGTGAAAATAATGATTGAGAACTTAGTTTTGTTTGACACATTTATGAAAAATAAGGAGGAATTCTAAACTGCAGAACTAACCTTTCATTTGGATGGTTCCTTTTAGTTCACTGTGAGAGAGATCTAGAGATTTGAGCGATGATAGCCCATGAAATGAGGAGAAAATGCTATTATTGAAGTAATTATATCGTAAATTAAGGACCTTCGGGTATTTTAGACCTGTTGGCATAACCAAATC